AGATTGGGGATATTATGTTGAAGGAGGTGGTTGTGAGGTTGAAGAAGATGGACATCGGGCTTCAGGTGACGGATAGATTCAGGGATCTGGTGGTGGAGGAAGGCTATAGTCCGAGCTATGGGGCGAGGCCGTTGAGGAGGGCCATCATGAGGCTACTGGAGGATAGCATGGCCGAGAAGATGCTCGCTCTAGAGATCAAGGGGGGCGATTCCGTAATTGTTGATGTGGACTCCGATGGGAAAGTCGTGGTTCTCAGCGGTGGTGTTGGTGGTGGTGGTGGGGAAGCTGCCGCCGCGCTTGAGGCATCTCCTGATCTTGCGGTGGTGTAGATTTTGTTTTGTTTTGACCGATGTAGCCATTTTTTTTTTTCATATAGACGGGGATGGATATTCTTGCTTTTGAGACTGGAAGGATTTTGTTCTACACTGTCAACAGGGACATCCTTTCTTTTCCTTTTTTTTTTTTTATTATTATTTTTTTTAAACACAAAATAAAGAAAAATTAGGATAAGAGAAATTTTTATTTTTGGTTTCTGGGTGTTAACTATTAGTCTCGTTATCATTGTTTGGTGGTTACATTCATTTTGAAGTGATATGTAGCTTCTTGTTCCTATCTGTATTTGATGATCTTGTTTTCTTTTCCCATGCAAACAAACAACTTTATAACTCAAATACAAGTACAATAGGTAATCAAATGATTGCAGAACACCTGAGAAATCAAAGAATGATATATCAAGGGTGACGAGAAAGAGTAAATTCTTCACCTCAAAGACCAACGAGGTCAAAACAAAACAAACAAAATCAAACTATACAATAAAAAAAGAGTAACATTCAGTCCACGAAAAGAGATACAACTTGCTCCACAAGAGGACCATATGAACCACAGACGAGCATTTTTCATCATGGCTTTCACAGCAGCAACATTGTTCAAGTAGCATATGCAGGATCTCCACTTAAGTTCTTTGAGCTTCATCAGGCTCCATTTGACAGCCAACAAAGCTGCCTTAGCTTCACAGTTAGTGCCTGTTACGTATCCTTCCCAATGAATTTTGTTGTCTTTAGATTGAACAGCAACACACTTACTGCAATGTTTCCATCTTCAGAGAAATGAGCACTGACGGCCAGCTACCTACTCTCTTTGAAACTTCATCTGAAGAGGGTCTCTTCTAGGGTGCAACTTCTGTGACTCACATTCCAACCATTCTGATTTGGTTCCTTCTTCTAATTCCTTCTCATGAATCCAATCTGGCTTTACACAGATTCCAGTTCAGAGATATAGATAAAGTGAGCCTATCCTGCAGATTATCTGATATTCCTTTTGAGAAAGTTTCTATCCACCACCTCTGAATATCCATTTTCTTGTGCTGCATTAAGTTTTAATATACCAACTCAACCTCCAACAGAGTTTTGACTTTGAAAAAAAAAAAAAAACAAAAGATGGTTTAAATCCTCTACTTTCTCACCACAAACCTTACAATTAATATCTACCTCTAAACCCTTTCTATTCAAAATCCTATTAACCCCAATGAAATCATACCAACATCTCCAGATGAGCTATTTCACCTTAGGTTTAAAGTGCAGATGTTTATTGTGTTTTTGTACTTATTTTCGTGTATTTTATGTGTCTTAGTTGAGTCTTTTAGCATCGTTTTAGTGTCGATTTATCCATTTCAATATTTCATGTTTCTTTGCGTTCGTTATGTGTTTGTGTTTTGTCATATTTTCCTTGTCTTTTGGGTGTTGTTTACATTATTCGAGTTTGGGAAGACGAGCCATTTCCGAGCCGTCCGAACCATGCCCGAGCCATTTTATCGAGCCATCCGAGCTACCGAGAGAAGGAGATCATTTCGAGGCATTTCCATGATGGGGGCACTTGCTGCGAAACTGATTTTGAGATCGACAAACGCACCTTCCCAGCACTAAATAATGCCGCATTCTTAGTGAAACTGATTTCGCGACCAGCGAATGCATCCTACCAACATAAAATGATGCCATACTCTCAACGAAATTGATTTCGCTATCGACGAACGCACCTTGCCAGCACCAAATAATGTCACACTCTCTGTGAAACAGATTTCAAGACCCGCGAACTGAAGAATTTCATTAAATGTGTGTGTGTTTGTGGTATAGTTATAAATAGACATTGTGCTTTGTATTCTTGGACAACCCCTCCTTTCCCAACATTTAAGTTGAGAAATTCTCTTTATTTTCTCTCTTTTATTGCTTTAGTTTGGAGATTCATGAGCTCTGGGAGGGTTATCGAGCATCGCCTAAGACGAGTGACGAGTGTGACCCAAAACCAATTTGGGTTTACGCTTGGAAGGTCGACCATGGAGGCGATTTTCCTAATGCGACAATTGATGGAGAGATATGGGGACCAAAAGAAGGACTTGCACATGGTCTTTATCGACCTTGAGAAGGTGTATGATAGAGTACCGAGGAATGTCATGTGGTGGGCCATAGAAAAGCACAAAGTCCCATCTAAGTACATTACCCTCATCAAGGATATGTACAAGGATGCGATGACGTGTGTCCGGACATGTGGGGGCGATACCAGCGACTTCCCAATTAAAATAGGACTACACCAGGGGTCAACATTGAGCTTTTATTTATTTGCCTTGGTGATGGATGAGGCCACAAGGGACATACAAGGTGATATCCCTTAGTGTATGCTCTTTGCTGATGATGTGGTGCTAGTTGACGAGAGAAGGGCAGGGGTAAATAGGAAGTTAGAGCTGTGGAAGGACACGTTAGAGTCGAAAGGCTTCAGACTTAGTAGGACGAAGACTGAGTACATGACATGCGCTTTCAGCATGGCTTCACATGATGGTGACATTAGCCTTGACGGGCACGTGGTGGCCAAGAAAGAGACTTTCCGGTATTTAGGATCGATGCTACAAAAGGATGGCGACATTGATGAAGATGTTAGGCATATAATTGCAGCTAGTTGGTTGAAATGGCGTTAAGATTAGGGGTTCTCTGTGATAAGAGGGTGCCACAAAGGCTAAAAGGTAATTTCTATAGGAGGGCGATTCGCCCGGCGATGCTATACGGTGATGAATGTTAGCTTACAAAAAGGAAACATGTCCAACAACTAAGTATAGCAGAGATGTGTATCTTGCATTGGTTTTGCGGGCACACAAGAAGGGATAGAATCCGGAATGAGGATATTCGAGATAGGGTCGGAGTGGCTCCAATTGAGGAGAAATTGGTTCAACATCGGCTGAGGTGGTTCGAACATGTCCAACGGAGGCCTCCTGATGCACCGATGCGTAGGGGAGTTCTATAGCCGGTCGATGATGTTAAGAGAGGTATAGGTCGGCCTAAACTCACTTGGGAAGATTTGGTTAAGAGATACCTTAAAGATTAGAATATCTCTAAGGATTTAGCGGTGGATAGGAGCGCTTGGAGGCTAGCAATCAACGTGCCAGAACCGTGACTTTTGCTCCTTTCTCTTTTGCTCCAATCTCTTCCTTTTGTTTTGAGCCCTTTTTGTATTTCTCTTACCATTAGTTTCTCTTGGATTTCATCTATAGCCTACCCCAATTTGCTTGAGACTAAAAGGCTATGTTGTTGTTGTTGTTGTTGTTGTTGGTTTGGAGATTCATGACTCGATTTTTCCGGCAATATTTCGATATTCTTATTTTTTTTATCAAGATTCGAGCTTTACGCACTATTTTCGTCCGAGCATGCGATAGAAGAGTAAGTAGCTTGTTTAGGGCTTACTATTTCGAGTTTGTTTTTAGAATTTTGTGTCTATGCTCGATTCTAGGTCTTTACTTTATTTTCATTGCTTGCTGTTTTAGGAATCAATATGTGCTTATCTAGTATAAAGGTCTCGACTTTGCTCAAAGCATGATGATTTAGTGTAGAAAGCTCGTGTTAGATTACCTAGGATCACTTAGCTAGCATATTTCTCTTTGTTTATTTTCTTTTTCTTGAGTCATGGAGATTCCGTTCGACCAAAATTTTGATCTTTCTTCTAAAATTTGCATAATTCATCCTTTGCTCTTAATGTCTTAGCTTAAATTCATGCAAATCAATCCCCATCAAGCGAGTAGAATGTGTAGGACCTTGCTTTCGGTTATGTGAAGATGACTAGATCATGAACAAAGCTCTGAATAGCCTTCCTTAGAGAACGACCCGTGTCCGGGTAGATCGGTTACCATCCACCCCCAAATTACTACTCAACAAATGGCGCTGTTGCCGGGGAAGGTGAGTGAGACATCAAGTTCACTATCTAGTTGTCGTTTGTTTACGTGTTTCTCTTGCTTTTTTGGTGTTTTATTAATTTTCTGTGTTTTTCTTGATTATTTACTTATTTTATTTTTTTCTTGTTATTTGGTGTTTTTTCTCTTGTAAATATCGTGCCGTGTTTTTCATGTCTTGTGTTTTTCTCGTATTTTGCTGTTTTCTCTCTTTTGCCTAGTGTGCCTTTGGGTTGTTTTATTGTTCTTGTGCGATGTACTTTGATTGAGGAGCTCCAATGAAACCATACAACTATTCTTATGTTGGTAGCTCTTCTCGTGGATACCCCGACAATTACCATGAGGAGATGCATTCATATTGAGAGCCGTCCCCTCCGTTTCAAGCTATTCACCTTCTTATTCGTATGATGGATACTCTACATTCTATGAGTATGGCCCGAGCCAGTCTATTGTGGTAATAATATCCCGGGTGACGCGATATGTCTCACTAATATCCTTTGTCTCTCAATTTTTATGATGCAACACCTCAACCCAAGCCAACTCAAGAAGGTTTCTCCAAGCCTCTTAGACGAGATTATGGAAAATTTGGAGAAGTGCTATCAATCCCGTCACACTTCAATGGCTCCCATATCCAAAAAAGAAGAAACCAGTCCTACGCTCCATCCTCTCCATCATATGAGCATCAATCTGTTGGCTAACCTGCACATCGAGAATCGAAGCTTCAATTCCAACAATGGTGGTGTTATATGAGCATCACAAAGAGGTTTTGACGAGCACTCAAGAGGCACTTGCGAGCCTCATGTCGATCATTTAGGAGTTTCATAGTTGGAGGAGTATTCCCATTCCATCCATTCTTCAAGCTACACTCACGAAGTTCGACTCTACCGTGGTCTCTTTTCTTGATTTGGATGCCTCTAACATTTCGCATGGTAGATATTGTTCTCATCAGCGAGAATTATTCGGGAGAGTACTCGGTTAGAGGGAGAATTTCTAGCTATGGTGGATAGGTTTGTCTTCTTGAAAGATATGGGTCTCACTCTCGTTTATGATGGAACGCAATATCTCGACTCAAGTGAGGATATCGGCGATTTGGTTTTTAAGGATATACCTCTTTTGACGATTCGGCCATGTCATCCACACCAGGTACGTCAAACCTCTCTTCCGGTGATTGTGCTTTGAGTTCAATTTCTAGTTTTGAGAGTAAGTGTTTGGATTCAGGAGTTGATATGGTGTATGGCGTGAGAGAAAACTTATTAGAAGATTCGATTGTGCGTATCCATGAGTCGAGTGATTCTAGCGGATTTGATAGTGCGCAAGAGGATGATTTTGAGGAGGCGGATGAGGTGGTTCATGATGTTGAGCCATTATGTGATGTCGTGGACCAAAAGTGTACATTGATTGATGGTAAATAAATTATTTGTGGAAAGTTCATAAAAAAATTGAGTCAACCTATTTGACTTACTACTTATAGAAATCCAGCATAAAGCCAACAACTTCCCTATTTCTTTGTATTTGATTTGTATGCCATATTTCAAAAAATTCGACTTCACCATTTTCAAATATTTTGTTCGGATATTTTGGGATCCTTATTTTTGATAACATATTTAAAAATTTCAAATAAAATCGTGTGAAATTTTGCTTTGAAAAATATGAGATTCCAATTCCATTGAATCATTATTTTTTGACAACCAATTTGATTAATTTTGGTGACTATTCCATATTGTACTCGCGTTAAATAATTATGCCTGATTATAGAGTTATTTTTTTTCTACAAATTACGATTTTATTCCATTTTCTAAGATATTGAAACAATCTTAACAAATAACAAATCTATTCTGCTTGGTTACTGAGAATCCTATGACTTCTATATCTACTAATATCATGTAGAGATGTTAGTAATTAAAAATAAACAATGAGAACCAGATTAAAAATGGACGGATATACATGAAAAATTTGTAGATACTATCCAAAAACTTACATATCCGAATAACAAAATATATTTTTAAGCCTATATACTTTTGTAAAGTTTGCATAGTTGGAAAGTTTGCATAATCCAAAAATGTATCGGTTTTCTATTTTTTCGGCTGATCTTGCAAATCCTTTTCAAAACAAATTTTCGGCTGATCTTGCAAATCCTTTTCAAAACAAAATCCAAATTATAAAAAATTCAGACTTAAAATCGAATTTTGAAAGATTAAGTGAGGTAAGAAAATTGAAGAGAAAATATTGAGTAATAGTAGAATTTTTGAAGCGGCGGACATTCATGAGGTTTTTCCCAAACCCTACTTTTGCACAAATCTTTCCTTTTATAATCACGATGGACTGTTAATGGCTGTTCGATGTTGTTCCCTTAACCTCCACCGTTAGATCTTTTTTTTTTTGGTTTTATAAAATTTGCACAATTTTTCGTGTTACGCTACTTCATGCATTTGGCCCGTTTCCAAATTAAATTCACTTATGGCTAAATAAATGATGGGCCGATTCTAGCCATGTTAACCATAGTGCCAATCTGTGAAAAAAATATTTAGCCTACTAATATTAACTTATTGTTTTACAAGCCCAATTATATTTTTTGTATTTCGCGTCTTTTGTTAATATAATAATTATAATCTATTTATATATAATTGCTGGCATGTAGCATTTAATAAAACATTTAATATAATGCAAGTGTGAGCGTCCTGGTCCGGTTTGGGGTAGATCGATTCTTTTCCTCGACGGTAGAACGTCGGAAACCTGCAAATAACTCTCACACCGGGGGTTGTGTCCGGTGAAGAGCCTCCGATGCTTAAGTCAGTATGTGTATGAGTATACTGAAATTGAGTAATGGAAAAATCGTGTTAAGGAAAAAAGGCTCACCCCCTTTATATAGGAGTGAAATACCTGCCCTAAGGCTGCCCGGATTTGATGAGCTGGCTGCCCAAGCTGCCCGTCCGTACTCTAACACACAACGCGTATGTCAGAGGTGGCGCCGGATGTTGGGAGCTGTCATAGGTGGTTGTCGCTATCAACCAGTAAGTTCTCAACACGTGTCCTCCTGCACATGAGATGAATATTCTCCTGAAATTCTGTTAGAGGCTCTTTCACGCGCCTGTGACTAGGCCGATCTATGAAGTGTTAAGTCCGCTAAGTGGTCGGCCGATCGAGGTCGACTGAACTGCTCGATCGCTTATCTGGTCGAATGATGGATTGGTCGACTGCTTAGTTGGTCGACTGGTTGACTAGTCGATTTCGGCTTGGTTTCCTCGCGGTATGGCCTCTTCGACCGGTCAGCAGGCTGGTTTATCCTTGTGGGTATAATATCCTATATCATCTAGTCCCCCCCCACTCTGGTCGAGTCTGGATGACTCGATCCAAGATTGAATTTGTGCTCCTCACTTTTCTCGATGACATGACGTCAGATATCGACCTCCTAGTGAGTTTCCCGCCCACTTTTTCAAATAATTCTTCATTAATTGCCCGAAATAAGGTCACCTGTCATATGTCCTTTCTGCCGTGCCTACTTTTCTGCCATGCGTCTCATCTGCCGCATCTGTCAGGTACTTTAATAATTGCGCCTCCTCGTGTTCTGCGCTTCCTTGAGTCCCACGCTCATTAATTTCTCTGTCCGTTCGATCTTATTTTCATCTGACGGTCCTCCTTACCCCACGTCTCTTAAGGACTTCATATAAAATCCATACTTAGCGAGTTTTTGAACTTTTTTCCACCTTTGCACTTCCAAACTCTCTTGCATTCAAAAATTTCTATGCAAACCATAGCTTCTTCTTCGCGGCGAGTCCTCTTGCTCTTCTCAGATTCTCTCAATCCTTTCATCTGCCACCATGAGTAAGTTGCTCTTCACTTGAATTTACATTTCATGTGCCTTGGATTCATGCATTTTTGAATTTTTCTAATTGGGTATCTTGGATTGCTGACTGGGTGTTCTGAATTTGTGTGTTGGGCGCCCCTGTTTGATTGTTAATCACTGTGAATTTTGCTTCCTTCTTCGAAAATCTCCTGAAATTCTTGTTCTTCCTCTTTAATTTTTCGAAATCACCCCCTCGTAGAACCCTAATTTTTTGAAGTTTCGCCTTTCTCGAAAGTTTTTTCCCTTTTTTGATTTCGTTTTTGTTTTTCTTTTTTCAGATCCTGCACCTCCACCTCCTTATTCGACCACTTCCTCTGATTCAGTTCAAATACTACCTTCTGCACTTGAGGCTGTTCCTCTCTCAATTCTTCGTCCCGGCGAGACCATCCCCACCATCGTTTTTACCGCCCGTGTTGCTTCTGCTAATTCTGGGGATACCATGGATAATATCCCCCTCCGCCATCGTCGACATGCCTTTGGCTCGTTAGATGAGCCAGAGGAGGATGAGGTCACTTCTTCTCAACCTACCTTCCCTGTATCTTCGACCCTTCCTCCCTCTTCCTCTCAGGCTGTTCCCCCAGCATCTTCGACCATTCCTCCTTCTCCTCCCAGACCTGATGCTCTAAACTCTCCTCCCAACAAAGCTTCAACCAAAAAGCCCCGCAAAACTTCCACAAAGCGCCCTTCTTCTACCTCTCTCTCTAACGGTTGGTATACTTCTGAGAAGATCGGCCACCCTAGCGGTTGGTCGTTCTATAGGTCTTCTCCCTCCGACAAATACGATCATCCCCCGAGGGACTGTTATACTTTTTTCGAAATCCAATTCAAACTCGGCCTCCGTTTCCCTTTGAACCCTGAGCTACTTCGCATTTGTGAGTGGTTCTCACTTCCCTTGCATCAGCTCCCTCCTAATGCCATCCGCTTCATGACTACCTTCATCATCCTCTATCACGTCCTCTTAGGTTGATCCAACCTAGCCTTCTTCCACTACTGTTACACTCCTTCCAAGCAAGGTCGAGGCCTTTACCTTAAAAGCCGCAACAGTGCTCATTTTATCAATGATATTCCTTCCAATCTTCCTAAGTAGAGTGACAGATTCATTTTTGTCCAGCCCGATGTCCCTTTCCCTTGGCCCTCCGTACCTTGGGTCAGGGAAGTTTCGCAAGAGGGAGCTTCAGCCCCTCCTCCAAACCCACTTTTCGACCAACGGGTCCACACTTAGAATTCCAAGTCCGTAGCGTCAAAAAGACTTCTCAAGGACGAAAACCTTCTTCACCACTGTGGTCTTCTTACCCACAAAACATGTTCGCCACCCAGTGATGAGATCCTCAATCTTATCTGTATTGAGAATGACCCAGGTAATTTTTGATCAGTTTGCTCGAGCACTCATGCACTCCTTCGATATTGCGCTAGATAAAATTTTATTGATATCGACCTTATTGTTCTCATTGTTTCCTTGCAGAGGTTCCTAGCTTTAACATCCCCTTGAGAAAAGCTCCTCTGAAGCGGAAAGCGGGGGACACCTCGAGGTCGACCGCGGACAAGGCTGGAGGATCGACCACTTCCTTCCAGTCACATCC